TCACCACGGATGACCAGATGGACCATCTTCCTATCTGCCTACTCCTACCATCTCATCCATCGATCTGGCTCCACTTTGGGGCATGCCGACGCTTTGAGTCGCTGCCTGTTGCCAGAACTTCTAGCAGACCCTACCCCCGAGATGCCAGTCCTGCTTATTGATTGTTTAGAGACTGGTCCTCTCTTGTCTAGTGATGTTGCCCGCCACTCTGCAAAAGACTCCACCATCAAACAAATTTTGAACTGGGTGTGGAGGGGGTGGCACAAGGGGCCTGTTGGGTCTGAATTCAAAATGTACCATTGTAAGTGTGAAAAATTGTCTGTTGTTAATGGCTGTTTGCTGTGGGGGGACCGGGTCGTTGTTCCACCCAAACTGCACCTTGCATTATTAGAGGCTTTACACATAGGGCATCCTAGAATTGTCAGGATGAAGTCTTTGGCCAGGAGTTACGTGTGGTGGCCTAACATGGACAGGGAGATTGAAGAATGGGTGGCTACCTGAACACCATGCCAGGAGTCCAGACCAGTTCCTCCAGAGGTGCCTGCTAAGGAGTGGGAGCAACCTCAAGCACCATGGTCTAGGGTGCACATTGATTTTGCTGGCCCAGTTCATGGCCAGACATTCCACGTAGTTGCCTACTCGAAATGGCTAGAGGTAGTCCTGATGACCTTCACTAAGGCAGAAGCGGTCATCAAGGTACTACGGAGACTTTTCTCCATGCACAGCCTGCCCGATGTCCTGGTCTCTGACAATGGGCCCCAATTCACGGCCATGCAATTTGAGACCTTAGCAGCACAAGGAATCAGACATGCCCTGATCGCTCCACTCCATCCGGCATCCAATGGTCAGGCGGAGAGAATGGTGAGATCTGCAAAAGAGGCCCTATCCAGGATGGGCCCGGGAGATTGGCAAACACGGGTTGACCATTCCTACTAATCCAATATATCACGCCCAGTGCCACTACAGGAGAAGCCCCTCCGAGCTTCTCATGGGTCATTGGCTAAGGTCCCACTTACACCGGCTACACCCAAACTATTCTGTCGCATCGCCCCCTGACTCCACAAGCAAGATTCGGAACTTTAGCATAGGGGATTCAGTATACGCCCACAACTATGCCAGGGGAACTCTGTGGATTCCTGCCACAGTGATAGGCATCACCGGGCCTCGCTCTTATCTCGTAGAGCTCGAGGACGGCCGGAATTGGAGAAGGCACATTGACCAACTCCGTGGCCGCCTCTCCAAATCCACTCTTAGGCAGCCAGAGATAACTCCTGCATGAGTTAGCCAAAGCTCTACCCAAATGGAGCAAGAAATTACTTCTTCCACAGGGAGCTCAAGCCCCAGGGTACCAGGGAACTTATCTGGTTGTGTTGCAGGCCCGCAGCAAGCTCCAAGTGAACCGGCTCTAGAAGCTCCACCCGCGACCTGTGAAAGATTCCAGGAGCTTCCACCAAGCGGAGCTGCGGAGCAAATAGGTCCGTCCGACATGTCTGAAGAGCACCCTCCGACTGAACTGCGCAGGTCAGGCAGAGGTACCAAAAAGCCTGCCTACCTGCGTGACTACATAACCAGTAGGATTATTTCATCGGTTCCACCACAAAACCGCGCTCGACTAAACCACGCCCGACTAAACCACGTCGCTGATGTCATCAACAGAGCGACAACAGCGCGGAGACAGAAGCATGCTGTAAATCCTAAACCTAAAATTAACCCCTAAACCTAAACCTAACCCCCCTAAACCTAATCCTAA